CCAGCCTTGGCACTGCTCTGTAGGGATGGGTACCGAAACCCGGTATTAAACGGGCCCGGGGCTGAATTTTGAAAGACCGCTGTATCGATAAGCTCGGACGTTATCGGTTCTGCTGTCGGTACTGGAGAAATTAATAAAATACACAACAATGTATTATTCCTTTAAAGACGTTTTTATTTTTATCTCGCCAGCCATTTCTATGTATAATAATATTCAACCATTTGTCTGTGATGCATTTTTGCTTTTCGCAGTCCGAGAGAGAGATAGATAGAGATCTCTCATGCGTCCACAACGTTTGGGTACACTTTAGATCTATGATATTTGTCTGATTTTATTTTAGATTTCGGCTTCCAACAAATATATTGAGGTGAAACCATTTGCTGTCATTTCTCCCTAAAACTGAAACTTAACGACAGAATCAGCACTATCGGTAATTGTTGTAAAATGCAGTCTAGCTACAGTTGCTAATTGTGGGACACGTTTAATAACAAAAAGAGCTATTAAAAGCATTCAAATCTGCGCAAGAGATGTTGTTCCCAAGGCGGCGCGCGCTCTGAAACAGACCGCAACGAGACGAGCAAATTATACTTGGGGTTTCATGTGCACGTCTAAACCAAACGATCAAATGTACACAAGAATGTCAAAATGATCGGCTTGGAGATTCACTTAAACACAGTTTATGTCTTAAATGGTCGTAGTTATGGAAATAGTTTGGAGAAAATATGGTGCAATCAGTAGCCTATTAGATCAGCACTCGTTCTTAAAGGGGAAGCAGTCTAATAAACCTGCTGACGATTGCGCCATTACTGCGAATCACACAACAAAATGCAAAGAGAAAATCACTCACAACTCTTGAATGAATAACTTCAGCTTTAATAAGCATTAATCTATCTATGATAAACTATGCAGTGTTATTTAACATTTGATTATTTTTAGACCATACCTGAACAGTAATGTTAGTAGACCTTCCTGAAATTAAAGCACTGCGTAGGCCTATATAATGTGTATCTTTGTTTAATTGTTTATCTATTGTTTAATATATATTTATATATAATATGTTTATATTAGGGCTGTCAAATGATTAATCACGATTAATCACATCCAAAATAAAAGTTTTTTTTACATAATATATGTGGGTGCACTGTGTATAATTATTTTGTATATATATAAATACACACACATGCATGTATATTTAAGAAAAAAATATTATTTATATATAAAATATTTATATTTATATATAATATAAATTATATATAAATCTATATACAGTATATACATGAAAATATTTCTTAAATATATACAAGCATGTGTGTGTATTTATATATATAAAATATTTATACACAATGCACCCACATATATTATGTAAAAAAAACTTTTATTTTGGATGTGATTAATCACGATTAATCATTTGACAGCCCTAGTTTATATATATATATTAAACAAAGATAAATAAGATATTATATTAAACAAAGATAAATAAGAATATATATATGTATATATATACTGTATATATATACACATATATATATATATATATATATATATATATATATTAGGGGTGGAGCCGAACCCGAATACGGTATTCGGAAAGGTACAAATAATGTGTTTTTTACGAATAGTTATTTCGAACAAATACTTAAAAAAATATTTGTATTCGGGAACAAGAAAACCTTTATAATATATTACCAAAACCCATTGAGATGGTACATCGACTTACAATAGGTTGAATGACACGTCTGCCATAGCCTGAAGGTGTCTGTATCGCATTTCCTAGCACTATGTAACTTCGGGGTTCGGGTAGGAACCCGAGCACAAAAAGAACTACAAAATTCGAGCGCTTTACGGCATACGTCACTTCCCCCACCACCCACAACTTCCTCAGATTCTGACGTGAGTGCTCAACTCGCGTTTGATCGCCGTCTGTATGTTTTCGTCATGGCCGAACCAACAGCTACAAGGAAGAAGGCAAAGGTTTTGTCAGAGGACACAAAAAAAAAGAAAAACTCATAGTGACAAATGAAAAGCCAGGACGAGGATCACCATTGGTCCAGCGTTCGCTCGCTGGCGTGAGCTAAAGGAGGAGGAGGGGTGCCCGACCGATGCTAACGCTTGCCTGCACACAAATGCCGTTTCCAAGGTGACACAGATAAATCATATAAGCAGTGTAGTATTTTCTGGTATTCCGGCCACAGCCGATGGTGTTAAGAGTGTAATAAAATGTCCACAGCCCATTGTTCATTTCTACACACAAACACAGCCCGCCACAGTGCAGGGCTCGAACAAATAAAATCGACTCATGTCAAATGTACATTAAATGTAGTGAACGTTCCCACGACTCAGTGCCCACAAACACTACACACAACATGTCCCACGGTTTCTGTAAAACGAAACCAACACACATAAGTTACAGTCAGCTCAGGCCGAGGTGTTTTTAGTGCAGTAAATGTGCCCGCCGTCCCGCGCCCACATTCACTCACAGACATGTTAGCACTAAGCCGCTCGCTCTCTCTCAGCAGACTGCTATAAGGGAATCGAGCGCGGCCAGGCTGCCCGCCTCAAACACTGCAAGCACACACAATCTAAAGACACGGGAGGCTGACCCACTGTCTATGGGCGGACCGGTTGACTGTTTGTTGACTTTTGCGACAGTGCTGCGGAGCTTGTGGCCTCTAGGAACGCTAGACGTGAAAGTCTAGTCGAGCGCCACTAGTGGCCAAAAGTTCCGCAGTGTGCCTTTAACGTTCGGTTAAAAAATGCTTGTGTAATTGTGTCGAATTGTATGCTCTTGTGGGAGTTATATGGTACGCAGACATCCCAAGTTTCTATTGATAGCGGCTCCCTGAAATAAGTTCAAATCTCCCGGAATCTAACACAACGCGCATGCGAGACAGAACATACTGTGCTCCAAACCGTGTAGCGCGCGCACGTAAGAGAGGGAGAGAGCTAGAGACCTTGCCTGTGTGCGTTATGAAAGCTAGTCACCCCCCACCCCCCCGTCGACAATCCAGTCAACTTCAAACTAGATTTTCAGGCCTATTTTGAATTTTACTCAAATACAAATAAAAATACTTTTCCCCCCTCAACAAATACAAATACAGATACAAATACCGGCTGCTTTGCACACCCCTAATAAAACAAAAAGAACCGATAAGAATACCGTTAAAGTACCGGATCGATAAGCAGTACCGGTAAGAGTGGTAATACCGTTAAAACCTTAACGATACCCATCCCTACTGCTCTGTCCAGTACGTGCTCTCCGCGCCTATGTAGACAGAACGCAGTGTTTCAGGACCTCAGACCAGCTCTTTGTCTGTTATGGTGGGAAGCTGAAGGGAAAGGCTCTCTCCAAGCAAAGGCTGTCTCACTGGATAGTGGACGCCATTGCTTTGGCTTACCAGCAGCAAGGCCGACCGTGCCCCCTTTGTGTGACAGCGCACTCCCCCCGGAGTGTGGCATCCTCTTGGGCTTTAGCGCATGGCGCCTCGCTAACAGACATCTGCAGAGCTGCAGGCTGGGCGACACCTAACACATTCGCCAGATTTTACAATCTCCGAGTGGAGCCAGTGTCCTCTCATGTACTCGCTTCAACCAGCTAGTACCGGACCCGCTCAGGTGTCTTCGCTTGCTCACCATTCCACTCTACGGACTGGATACGTGCGATATTCTCCTCAGGTGAGCTTCCCCGAAAGCCCTGAGTTCCACCAGCACTCCTGACGTCGGCGCCAGTGTTTATGGCCTGAAACCCCCCCACCCCCCACCCCCCTCTGGGTTGGCAGTAATTGCATATTTCCTCTAAGCTATGGGATATTCTCCCCAGTGTACCTTGGTATTCCTGTGCTAAATAGGAGTCCTTCGTCCGTGCTAGTCTCACGACAGGGATCTCAAATTTACGCAGGGCACTGGAAGACAGCCGAGAAGGTGGCGTGATTAGACTGGTATCCCCATTCGTCGTCATCCAACGGAACTCGGAGTGACAACGAAAGGGAACGTCTCGGTTACGGATGTAACCCTCGTTCCCTGAGTAGGGAACGGAGACGTTCCGTCTTCCTGCCACTTTCCGCGGGGATCGCCTGAGCTCAGTCTTGGCTCCTCAGCGAAGAAACATATCTGCATTCTGACGGCTTCCTCCTTTTATACCCACGAGGTGGGGCGGAGTTGCGCTATGCAAATTCCGCAGACCCATGGCATTTCTTTGCCATTGGCTCGTTTTGTAATACTCGAAGTTGATAGGCTTCTAAGCGAAACCCCCATTCGTCGTCATCCGACAGAACGTAACCGAGACGTTTCTTATAATGATGCTTCTGTTCTTCATATGCAGATCAATCATCATGATTCACAGAAAAACCTGCAGCTTCACACTTCAATCTTCAGTGAGAATCTGTTCAAATAATGACTTTATTGAATATTAGAGCCAAAGTCGATAGAAAGTGTGACAATGAAAATATAAAAGGTGTTTTTCTACAGTCAATCATGTTTTCATATTCAAGGTGTGTTATAAAAGTATCTGGACTGGTTCTGAATCTCCACACAAGATCATGAAACGTGAACAAGCTCTAATATGTGTCCATCTTTAACAGCCTGTTTCTTCTCCATCTGATGATTTCAGACACACATGAGGCTTCATGATAGATGGAGTGACACCATGAACTCTGATTAGAGATTCACAATCAGTCCTGATACTTTCTGAACACACTCATGATTCATGATCGTACTTTAGTGATGGCGCTTCATCTAGTGGAAGTGTAGCAGTGATGATGGTCACATGACTGAATATGGACACAGAGATGGACGTTCATCTGCACATCCTCAGTGTCTCAGGAGTCACAATAAACATACTAAATAAAGTCATGATTGTGTAACTCTAGTGTATATGAGTTTGTTCTCAGCACAAGCTGTTGTAAATCCTGCCCACTTCTTTGCATTGTCAGCACATGCTTCAGTGCTCTGAGAGTGTTTATAGTGCTGTGAGTTTAACACTTCATGACTGAGAGCAGAACACAACACACTCTTCATCATCACACAAGACTAAACTACAACTATGAACAACATCATCATCTTCATCTGGACCATTGCACTGTTTGCTCAAGGTTGTTACTTTTTAATATAAATATAATATGCCATTGTTGTTTTGATCATTTTAATATACAATTATAAGGTGATAAACAAACCATTTTTACAATGATTGTTAGTTCTCTTAAAATGTGAAATATATTTATCATATACTGTATATCATCATATATATTATTTTCATGTTTATTTGTGTTTTCTTTCAGAGTGTAGAGGACAGATCACTGTAACTCAGAGTCCATCAATATCAGCAGTTCAACCAGGAGAAGAAGTCAGAATAAACTGTAAAACCAGCAGTGATGTGCATGGTGGTACTTACTTACACTGGTACTCACAGAAACCTGGAGAAGCTCCTAAACTCCTCATATATCTGACATCAAGCCGTTATACTGGAACTCACTCTAGATTCAGTGGCAGTGGATCTGGCAGTGATTTTACTCTGACCATCAGTGGAGTCCAGACTGAAGATACAGGAGATTATTACTGTCAGAGTTATCACAGTGGTTATGTGTTCACACAGTGATAAAGAGTCGTACAAAAACCTCTGTCAGTCAGACGTCACAGTGACTGCACTGATACAGCTGAGAGAAACTGCAGCTGCTGATGGAGGAGCACAAACTACACAATATCAAACCTTTCACACACTTTATTCATTTATTACGATGTACTAAGTAAACTTATAATCTTATATCTCTTACTTAACTGGACTAAAATGTGTAGTAAATGTGAGTGGTGCTTGTTCTTGTAAAACTTCTTGTTCTTGTAAAGCCACTACACTGTAATAATTGCACTTCTATCCTTCACCACTAGAGGACACATCTTTATATGACTGAGTTCCTCTCTGTCAGCGAGAGAGTTTCTCTGGACACTTCAACGAGCATCTAGAAAGAGAAATCTCACACTTCACATCAGAAGGCCTACTCTCTCATCCCTGTGTAGAAGGACACGCGTACCAATGAGACGCTGAACTTAAAATGGTTAAAAGCACAATTTTTAAGGGAAAGTACTAATCACACTGATGCAAATTATGACAGAAACCCTTAACAATGTTCTAAAACCACAAATGCAATGATTATGAAATCAATTCAGAAAAAAATAAATAAAATAAATAATTTGTTTATTTGAAAAGGGACAATGTACACTGATCAACATTCAGAACAAATGTAAGCGTACCCGAGTTAGCCACAGGCTAGTTTTCATCGGCAGTCCCCTTGCCAGATGTTATTAGGCATCCTCAAATAGTAAACTGTTATAATACAATAAAATTCTTTATACAATAAACAAAAGGTAAAAAATTAGACAAACAATCGAGTAAACAAGACGAGCAGATAAAATCTAAAAATAGATGATAATAGATGATACAGTTATTGTTGGTGGATGGGACCAGCGTCAGTGTTGACAGTGTTGATTTTCAATAAGCCATTTCTTAACATTAATCTTAAATGAGTAATAGGATGGGCACTCTCTAACTGATGGTGGTACTGAGTTCCATTCAAGGGCGTAGGTTTAGGGGGGGACGCTAGGTACTAGTCCCAATCAATATTTTGAGATGACAAATTTGTCCCCACCAATATTTAGCAAGCTCCTTTGAACTGCTATTTTGATATTTGCGCTGCATTTGGATCGATTCCAACGGCCAGGACGACGACAGTACAAGATACGCCGTAATTTGATTGGCGGCGGGGTCTCTGACAGGCAGGCTACACGCGCGGGCCGGGACTACTTTTTGTGCTTGCACTCACTGGCAGCGAGCGGGTGGTGACGTGTGTGTGTGCGCGCGTGACGACGCCGACGGTAAGTTACCAGGGCTGTCTCTCTGCCTGCCATATACAAAGGCCAGAGTAAAACATTTTAATATTCCGGTTTTTTGCCCCTTTTTGTACTTTGTAGATCAGCTATGTCACCCAAGAAGAAGAAAGGGGACATACGAAGCTTTTTCATAAAGCAGAGTGTAAGTAGGCAAAAATAACTAGCAGTAGTAGTGACTGACCAGGCTTTCAAATGCAGATTCTAGTGGAAAATAGTATTAACTGGTGATCCTGGTTACCCAGGATATTGTTACAGTTAAACCTAGCTTGAAGCTTCTGCAATCTTTCAAGGTTAGGAGCATTAATTAGGGGTGTGCAGCACAGATAGACTCAAAGAAATCGCACTATCATGATAGAATGCTATGTTAGCAAGTCACTGAATGTTAATTAGCCTACCTTAACTTAGAATCTTGCCGTCATAAACAGTGGATCATCTGAGACATTTTTCGTTTCTACATTCTGTTTATGTAATGTATTTGTGAGTGTAGCCTACTTGCTTAGACACATGTGCTGGAAAAACATGTTGGCAATGTTAAAAAGGCAAAAGTTAACACTGTTGGTTATTCAAATATAATAAATCATTATTTGATTGATAATATCCAAAATAACAATATCTGGTAGGAGGGTTAAACTTGCTAGCCATAGGATAGACTACAAAATTAATTAACCATTTTGTATGCAGGAAAGACAGCATCAAACCACAACAGATTTACATGTATTCATTTAGCAGACACTTTTTATCCAACGACTTACAATTGAGAACAATAGAAATGACAAAGGAAATCACCATTAAAGCACTGTTACTTATCTTACAACAAAATAATTCCCGGCTGGGGGGGGGGGGGGGGGGGGGGGGGGGGGCGGGGGATTGGGATTGGGGGCGGGGGATGTCCCCACCAAAGCTGAGACCAAACCTACGCCCATGGTTCCATTGATGTGATGCCGTGAATGAAAAGACGGCCTGACTGAATGCAGTTGTTTTGAGTGGAAGTGTGCAGTCCCTCCTAACTGCACCTCTTGTAACTCTGTTTGCAAACAATTTAAAGTTGACAAGGCCAGACAAAGGCGGAGGAGCTAAACTGTGCATGATCTTATAAACTAAGCAGACATTTCTGTTTTTTATGAGGTTTTCCCAACTAAGCAGTTTATAATTCTTTAGAATATGGCAATGATGGTAACGAAATGGCCTTTTGTCTAGAGTTTTAAGTGCTTGTTTGTATAATGATTTCAGTGGTTTTAAAGGGATTCTCCACTTTTTTTGGAAATAGGCTCATTTTATAACTCCCCCAGAGTTAAACTTTTGAGTTTTACCGTTTTTGAATCCATTCAGCCGATCTCCGGTTCTGGCGGTACCACTTTTAGCATAGCTTAGCATACATCATTGAAGTGGACAAGACCATTAGCATTTCTCCAAAAAAAATGACCAAAGAGTTTCGATATTTTTCCTATTTAAAATTTGACTGTAGTTACATTGTGCACTAAGACCGACGGAAAATGTAAAGTTGCGATTTTCTAGGCTGATATGGCTAGGAACTATACTCTCATTCCTGCGTAATAATCAAGAAACTTTACTGTCGTACCATGAGAGCAGCAGGCGTAATGATATGACGCAGCGCCTGAAAATAGGCCACCTTCCGTCAACATAACCAACGTGACAACCTGCCAGAGGACATATACTTTGGTTCTGATCCCGAACCGTATCTATTTGAACCGGAATACACTGAAGATGAGCTTTTGGAACGTGAAAGCCAAGAAAGTATGGCTGAACAGACTGCGACAGAAAGGAGTAGGAGAGCAGATTTGAACTGGTGGTGTAAGTGTGGGCTTGTCAACCAATGCTGACCGAAAGTGAGTGCCTGTGTTGTAACGAGTGGGAACAGGTCTTGCCATCAATGGCAAGGGTCGATCTACCTGATGAGGAAGTGGCATGTGTCGCAACATCCGAGGACTTCTTAGCGATGCTGCATCCTGCCGTGGTTGATTTTTTTTACCGGTTAGACAAAATAAACTGGAAAAAACGTCCCATGCCGAGTGGACCTGACGGCCAGCTATCGTTAGAGTAAGTGATTCCAGCAATCATTACAATGCATGAGTCAAAGATTTAGAATGCATCCTGTCAGCATGCATTTTCAAGCTTATTTTTATGATGTGCTATCTTCTCAGTCAATACAGCTTGGTGTCGTACCGCATTTTTATGGAGTGGGCCCTGAAGGGAGATACTTTAGAAAGAGGCAACCGAAAACCATTGCCATCGTGTGTGGTTGGTGCCATTTGCCAAAAATATCCATCAGAGTCAGGAGTTTATGTAGGATTTCAAGAAGCAGAAGATGCAATAAATATACTATAGGTACTGTTACTGTTCTGTAGGCTTACATTTCAAGTGCTCTGATTTGATGGCTTCTTACAGTTCAAAGATATTTTTGCAATCAGGTTGATTAAAAAGATTATATTCTGTTTTATATTGCACAAGCTTGTGTGATGAGTGCGAAACATGTGTTCTTGTGCTTGTGAGAGTTATGTTATCAGTAATTACATTAGTCTGTTTAGACATTTACTCATCTGACTGTCAGACTTTCCCATATTATTAACTCACAGATGTGAGTTGTCATAATTTGCCAAAATAAAGCTTTGCTTTGAAAATATGTGAAGCCTTATTTTTTTTTACATGACCTACCAACTTATAGAAATATAGTACACTGTAAAAAATGGCTGTGAAATCTACAGTTATTTACTGTAGATTTCACAGTAACATTACTGTATAATATTTTTACAGTAGAATATTGTAAAGTTTACAGTAAGACCTTAAAAATCACAGTAGTCCAAGCATTACAGTTGAAATCACAGTAGCCAAAGCATTACTGTTAAAAAAAATCACAATTTAGCCACTATAGTACTGTAAATAGTAAAGTAAACTACTGTAATTTTCCTTTTTTATATATATATCTTTCTTTGTACCCCTTTCACATGCACGGCCACAGATTATTGTTGTTCAGAATTCATTACCGGAATATGATATAAATACTCGATGGTGAGCTTTAAGTAAAGGTGTAATATTAATAAATTAAAATGTGTTATTTTAAACGTGTATACTTGTACTCTGATGCACCTGCTGCATGAGCTTTCTATTCCATACAATATATATTTTTAATGAATTCGCATAAGATTCCAAGAATATGTTTTGTTTGTTTGTTTTGTGACTGTAAATGTGTCACAAGTATGACCTGTGTTTCTTAGTTTTCCCCGTCTCTGTGTTTTGGTTTAGTCCTGTGTCTCAGTTTTCCCGCTCCTCGTTTGTGTTCAGTTCCTCCACCTGTGTCTAGTTAATTTGCCCCAGCTGTGTCTTGTTGCCATGACCCATTCCCTGTGTATGTAAACCCAGTGTTCTCCCTCACTCCTGGTTGGTTATTGTATGTGTTGCGTTTACATGGTATGTGTTGCATCTCCTGAGTGCTTTGTACATTAAATTCCTGTTAGAAGTTATTCCTCGTCTCCTCGTGCTTCCTGCCTACACCAATCCGTGACAGAATAACCGACCCAAAATCAACGATGAATGCTTCGATGCAGCTGATGTTGCTGGAACAAGGCCAGCAATCTCTCGAGGCTCACACCACGGCTTATCTCGACCTGGCATGCCTTAGCTCTTTCCCCGATCGCTCATTGAGTGTTTTCTTCCACACTGGCCTCAATGCAGAGACTAAGGCA